GAGAGAATGGTCGTCTGACATAGGCGGGGCATTGTTTGGATGGTTTGCATTCATCTCACTGATGGTTCACAACAGCCCCGGGAAATAGTTATTATCCCAGTATTATTGATGAGAGGCTAGTAGATAATAACCTTCCCATAGTGTAATGGCATTTAACAAATAAGTAGAGTTGAGATTTTAACCTAGGACTGTTGTCTGGAAAACACGGGATCTCTGTATAAATTTTGAAGGTAAAATGATTGAAGGGAGGGAGTTGATCTAATTGCAAGTCTTTGAAAAAATGACTTATAAGCACAGTGTGTGTGTGTGTGTGTCTGTGTGCGTGTGCACACGTGTGAGTGTGCACATGCGTGCCACACATATAGGAGTGAATGTTTTCATCATAGCGGGAAGAATTGAAATTATGAATTTATTTCACTCAGGCATTCCTCTAAAGAAAAAAAACTATTTGTCAGTAAGGGAAATGAAATATTTTTGTGAAATACAAAGATGTAGCCTTTTGAAATAAAGATCATCTTACCTACACACTCTTCCTTCTTATATTTCAGTACTATGTGCATTTTTGTGTCCACTGTTCAAATGTAATGACATGGGACAAAAAATATACAGCAAAATCAAGTCAGTTCTGCTGAAACTAGATTTTGGAATTGGAGAATATATTAATCAGAAGAAACGTGAGAGAGCTGGTAGGTAAAGTTTGACTTTTAGATTTCATGCATTAAATGAGACATCAGTGGGTTATTTATTATGAAATCACGTTTGGTACATTTCAGGTGTTTTAGCTTTTTACTACATATCATCACAGAAACTAATCCCCCCCACCCCATGTAACACAGCCTTTTCCTGTTTAGACTTTCATTCTTTCCTGAAACTTACAAGAAATTGACTTTTTAATCCAAATCCTCAGGGGAGGAAGAAGAGGATTCAGCCATTCTATACGATTTATGTTCTTTAAACTGTTTTATTTTGGAGTGGGCTATTGCAAATCAAAAATGGCACAGGTAGGACTAAGAGTGTGGGAGCCATATAAGAGGAATTGAAAGAATAGGGGAAGGAAAAGAAAATACGTAGAGGAAAAACCGGTGTGATCCATTTTCACTTTTTAAGTTGGCTTATGACGTTACAGAGTCTCAAAGTATAGCAAGCATCACAACGTCCTGGAGGGCTCATTAAAGCATAGATTGCTGGCCTACCCCACAATTTCTGATTCTGTTGGTCTGAGTAGGGCCTGAGAATTTACTTTTTAAAAAAGTTCCCAGTGATGCTGATGCTGCTGGTTCAGGGACCACACTTTGAGAAAGCACCGATATGGACCATTTCCCTTGGAAATCGGACATTTGCAAATACGCAAAGCTTGTTAGTGCAAACATTTAATTCTATGGAAGCGCTGGAGAATATGACTGTGGGGGAGCATGTGTAATGGATAAAATACACTATGTCTACGCCGGCCGGGAAACTGAAAGCTTCCAAACTTTTTCTCAACAGAAGCAGACAAAGAAAAAAGTCACAAAGATGACAGTGAATTAGACTTTTCAGCTCTTTGTCCTAAGGTATTTTCTGTTTAGTTTTCAATTTGTTCTTGTGTGGTTTGACTGTAAATTTATTTATAAGCTCTAATGCTGTACGGTTTTCCTAATAGACTCCTCCTATTTCTCTAAGATGATTGAACAGTTCTGAAAGGAAAATGCTCATCTGGTTTTTATTTACTGATATTTTTGGCGTTAGTATGGAATTTTCAAAAGATTTCCCACAGACGTTTAAAATGTGCCACTGGTATTTATATCAACACAGATTAGCCTCACTGTGGCTGCCAAAGAGTTGTCTGTTTCTGATACGGACGTTTCCGAGGTGACCTGGACTGACAACGGGACCTTCAACCTTTCAGAAGGGTACACTCCACAGACAGATACTTCCGACGGTATGCTCACATTTCTAGATGCTCTTTTTATCGTTACGCATGCACGCAGAAAGGTTTAACTGTCAATTGCCATAAACGAAATGGGGCATATCCTGTACAATGGAATATCACTTGGCTCTCAAAATGAAGTACCGACACATGCTACAACATGGATGGACCTTGAACACATGACCATGATGTGAAAGGAGCCAGACACACAAGTCTGCATGTTGTGTAACTCCATTTATATGAAATGTGCAGAGTAAGCGAAGCCATACAGACGGAAGGTAGACGAGGGGCTGCTGGGGGCGGGGGAAGAGGGAATTAGTGGTGATCAGCATGAGTTTCGTTTTGGAGGGATGAGAATGTTCTAGAGTTACATAGTGGTGATGGTTGTACAGGTCTGTGAATGTATTAAAAACCACCGACCTGTACACTTTAAAAGGGTGAATTTTGTGGTATGTGAATTATATCTCAAAGCGATTTTTTGAGTATGAATAAAAATCAAAGCAAGTCAATGTCAAACTGCCTCTATTTCGAAAACAAATATTTACAGTGAACAAAATTAAGTTCTAAAATGTCTGGTGACGTTGTTTATAGCAATAATGGACGGAGGGGAAGAGAGAAGCGAATCCCACATATCCAAGCTCGTCCTCGTTAAAAGGGACCGAGAATAGAGGGCGAGGTCCCCGAATCCAGAGCTGACTCCAGGGTTTCTCATGTTTTTCTTCAAAGTTAGTTAAAAAAATTTAAACACTTAATTTTAAGTTCAATTTAAAATAAATAGTCAACTCTTCTACAGTAACTTTTGTTAAGTCTCATTGGATTATTTTAAGTCGTCTTGGGCATATACTGAAGATGTGAGCAGATTATAATGGAAGATTATAAATGAATTGTTTAGTATGTATTTTTAGAAGCAAGAACACACGTTCTTTTTCTGGAGGAAGGCAGGAGACTGTGCAGTGTCTGATAGGAGACAGGTGTGAGGATCAGGAGACCCAACTTTAGTCTTGCTTTTGTCATTACTGTGTGACCTAGAACAGGTGATGAAATTTTTGTGGACCTCAGTTTCCTCATCTTTAAAGTGCAGCATTCGAACAAGAGGATCATTAAAATCCACGCAAGCTAAATGTCTACCAGACTAGGATAACACTTTGTTCTCAAGCATCCCAGCTCAGATTTACATAACAAAAGGGCAACAATAAACCAACCCATGCATGATGCTTTTCAGTAATTAAATTGAAGATTTCAAATCATTACTGTAAAGAGTTAACCATTATACTGAAAGATTTTCTATGAAAAATGAAAAACTATAAATCACCATCTGCCTGCTAACCTGGCATTGCTTTCAAATGTCCCAAATCTTAAAATGTTCGTTTGTGTGTGTGTGTGTATTTAAGAGACGATTTTGATTAAAATGGTTTGGTCAATATCAGCTCTATTTATGGAATGTTTCCATGACCTCTGAGGTCACAAGTGGAATGGAAGGAGCAATGACTTCTGATTCATTGCTTTCAACAAACACAGGTTACAGATACTTGTGATTCTCTGTAGGTGAAAATAGTCCACATCTACTATACTGGATTCTGTGAAAACCTCCAATTGAAATATTCTTTATTTTGTCATCATACGTATCTACATTAGCTTAAGCTATTTCCCTTCCTAGGAGCAAGGTGAAATTGTTTATAGTGAACATTTAAACTGTAGTCAAAGCCTTAACATTAGACCGGTTAAATATTATCATTATGTACACTGTCTCATGCTTATGAGGAAAGTTAAAGACGTAGGAGGAACATGGGGTATTTGTGCACCTCTAGGTAGTGTCCCAGATTTAGGAGGGGTCCAATACGTGGCTAAGTTGCTTTAAGCCGAACCTAGAGGCTAGGTGAATGTTAAGGTTGCCTGAGGATTCAGATTAAAATAGGATGCCTTTGAGACAGCTATTTTATTTCCAATATGTAATGGTGTTTAAACATGAACTTCTGTTATACATTTCACAGATCTTGACCGACCCATTGAGGAAGTTTTCTCGCGAGAACTTTCAGATTTTCCATCTCTAGAAAACGGCATGGGAACAAATGATGAAGATGAATTAAGCCTTGGCTTGCCCACTGAGCTCAAGAGAAAAAAGGAACAGCTGGACAGCAGTCTCAGACCGAGCAAAGAGAGGCAATCAGCAGCTGGTCTCACCCTTCCTCTGAGCAGTGACCAAACCTTTCAGTTGATGAGCAATCTAGCCGGGGACGTCATCACAGCTGCAGTGACTGCTGCTATCAAGGACCAGTTAGATGGTGCACAGCAAGCCCTTTCTCAGGCTGCACCAAGCCCAGGAGAGGACACAGACACTGAAGAAGGTGATGACTTTGAACTCCTTGATCAGTCAGAGCTTGAGCAAATTGAGAGTGAATTGGGACTTTCACAAGACCAGGAAGCAGAAGCGCAGCAAAATAAGAAGTCTTCAGGCTTCCTTTCAAATCTACTCGGAGGCCATTAGTCTGGGAATCAGCTTGTACAACAGAGCACAGATAAACTACCAAAAAATTTCAAACAAGTTAAAAAAAAAAAAAAAAAAAGGAAAAAAGTGTTTTTGGAACTGTGAGCTTTACTGACTAGTTTTTTTGTCTTATTTTCCCTTCTGCAGTGAATTAATTGGATATATATCAGCTGACACTGCTAGATTGATATTTCCGATAGTTTTTTATGTAATAAGCATGGAAATGAAATATATATATACAGTTGACCCTTCAAACAAATGGGTTTGAACTGTACGGGTCCACTTATTTGTGGATTACTTTCAATAAATACTATAACTGTATTTTTCTCTTATGATTTTTTAAAATGACATTTTCATTTTTCTAGCTTTATTATAAGAATACAGTATATAATACATATATAAAATATGTGTTAATCGACTGTTTATGTTATCGGTAAGGCTTCTGATCAATGGTAGGCTATTAGTAGTTAAGTTTTTGGGGAGTCAAAAGATACATGCAAATTTTTAACTGCACGGGGGGTCGGTACCCCTAAGTCCCGCATTGTTCAAGGGTCAACTGTATATATATAGACATGAATACGAGAGGTTGTTTTTAAAGCAAAAAGAAAACACCAAATTATTGAGCTCCTCCATAAGTATTTCTTACTTTTTTCTTTACAATTAATTTTTTCAAGCATGCAAAAACAGTTTATTGTAACTCACTGAAATATTAACAATTGTGAATACACGCTGTATCAGCTCCTCTGTTCCTAATACTTAGAAACAGTTAAAAAATTTTGGTTGATTTTGGTGTAAAAAGACAAATATTATCAAGGCCTCCTTATTTAAAGGACTTTAGGAAATATCATAATTAATTTCCTAGGAAAAATTTAAAAATATATTTAACTCCTTTGGATAGGCTGATACATTTCCATGTTATTTCTGCTGTTACAGACTTAGACTTACTTGTAAATGGCATGCTCCATTGACTGCCAGCTCTAGTCTTGCATTGGGTGGTATTAACCCATAGAAAGCAAGTAATTATATATCACGTAGATGGTGGTTTTGATGTAAACAGAGATTGAGCTGTGTTTTGTTGCTCAATTGTCATATATTTGTAATAGAGATATTGTGAGTACAGATCTAGTCTTACCTGCCCAGACTTAGGTTAAGCCCTCATCTTTCATATAGTGTCATAAGAAAAGTCTCTTAAAATCATGCACCTAGTTCCTGGTATGTTCCGTGAGTGATGTAGTCATCAGCAGTAGAGAAACAATAACTGTTTTTGTAGTCTGTATAGATTCTCCTACAGGAGAACACCTCGCTTGGCTTTAAAGTGTATTTATTTGCCATTGAAGTTTAAATAGTTCATCTGTTTTTCATTGGGAAGCTGGAATATATTTTCCCTTTATTTTAAACTATTTAGATGACCTTTAAGTAACCAAATTTGACTTAGGTTTTAACAAAGGACTAAAGAGCAGAAATCAAGCTAATTTTGTTTTTGCGATACAACTTTTAATAGTGTTGAGGGACCATGTCAGCAACTACCAATAATCTCTTCAATCGTTGGGTACAGCTGGCATTTCTACAGGCGCATCCAGACATCTGAGACCCTTAGAAAGGAAGGATAATCCAATAATACAAGAAATCTGTGGTCCCCTCCCTTCATTTTATCCCTTTCATTTCTAAAGATTAATTGTAGGTAATCTGATGTTTTAATGTAGCATCTCTTATTTATTTTTTCTTTCTGAGGTATTAAAATATCTAGACTGAATTTTGCCAAATGTTAAAGGGGGAGAGGTTACTGAAGAGTTTGAATGCTTGCTTTTTTGTGATTGACTATGCTTATATGTCATTAGTGCCTCATGACTGTGTTTGATGTCCTTTATTGATACAAAGTGAGCCTGTGCCTTCATTATCTTGCCCATTTTGGTACAAATGAAAACCTGGTGTTAGATCTATGAACTGTGTGGGTCTGGGAGGAATATACCTGAATTCTATTCAATAAGTTTCTGGACATGAAGAAAAATACAGTCACATATTTATAAAATAGTTGTTACCAGGATTCTTTCTTTTATGTGTATGATTTTTCATTTTAAAAATATTCTTGGCCATTAAGTCAAAAAGTTTAAAGGTCATTTCTGTTTCTTCACTGAGGGGAAAAGAAGTTTAATAATCCAAGTTATGAAAGAATGTGTTACAATCACTCAAAAGCTTACAAGAAAAGATAAACCAAGAGTTGATGGTATGAAAAACATGCTAGAATCAAATGCTATAAACTATGATATAAAAGAGGCTTAAGGATGGGGAAGGGATGAGGATAGGGTAAGGTAGAAAAATGTGTTACCTGCACTGTGGAGGAGACCTACCAGCTCTCTATGGACATGGACAGTAACATTATATATAACCATTTATATACTTCAATATCATTTGTTCAAGAGTATATGAGATTACAAATTTACACAATGCATTAATGGTATTCTTAATTCAAACAAACAGGGATGTCAAAGGTTTTTCGTGTGTGTGTGTGTGTGTGTGTATGTGTGTGTAATTATATACAATCTTATTTCTGATTTTACATATAATCTTATTTCTGATTTTAAGATAGTAACAGTAAACCCTAAATAGTAAACAGATCCAGTGCAGTAGGGGACTATATAGCGCTTACCATGAATATATATGTCATTAAAATTTGAAGCATGGATTTTTTTTAAATTGTAGAGTTGTAGAAAAATGTTTTGCTCACTTCCTGTAAGAAATACTGAAAAATCATACAATGGAAATAGCATACATTGACCATGTATTTTCATCTGAAACAATAACGCAAGGCCCAAGATCAAGCTTGCTTTGGAAGGTCAACCCAGGGTTAAATCAGTGTTTATATTCTCATTCTAAAATATCCTTGCTTTTTTCTTGCTCTAAAAATCTTCAAAAGTGATTTTAAAAAAATGCCTCTCCCCAGTTTAGTTTTAGGAAAAGAAACTTTTATAAGATTTTGCAATTGACAAACATCTTCCACATATTTAGGCATCTCACTCTAATATTTGATGTATAAATTTCTTCCTTTATAGAAGTGGCGAATGGCAGCATACTACTGAGTTTGGCTAGAAGCAAATATACATTGAAAAAAGTGACTTAAACGTTTTCCTTTTTTGTTTATAATTTAGATTGATGTAGTTCTTTACACTACTCCAGCTATGAGATTGAAGTTATTCAGAAAACCCTTACTGAAGTGTCATCATGATGAAGTTAGAAAGTCCCAGAACTATATTTCTGTGTATTATTCCTCCATTTCCACAGCAGCATTTCAGTTAGGACGGAATGCTGGAAATAGTCTTCTCATATAATGATGTTTTGAAAATGAATGGAGAAAAAAAAGTGTCTGAAAACACTTTTGGGGTAAAAAAGCTGTATAAAACCAAGATAGTGATATTTTTCCTGCCTGTGTTTCACCTTTTTAAATATTAAATATTAAGCCATCTTTTTAAATATTAAAACAAAATAAGTACCTGCTTACAAGAAAACTCTAAGTTTCTTTTAATGGGCCTAGCTCTATATTGGCCTTATAATCCAATAAATGCTGTGTAATAAAAGGAAAAAGCTTTGCAGAAATGTCTATTATTTCAGTTGACTCTGGACCATGTGTGAGGTTTTACGCTAGGCATTTTTAATGGTTCTAACACTTACTGGCTTTTGGACTCTGAGTCAATCACCTAAATCCCTGCACGTTTTCTTCATCTATAAAATTAAGCTTAGCACCTACCTCATAGTGTTATGAGGATTAAGTATCTAAAACTGGGGTTGGCAAACTATTTTTGTATGGAATACTAACTAAAGATCATCTTTTACATTTTTAAACAATTGAAAAAAATCAGAATATTTCATGATGTGTGAAAAAGATATGCAATTCAAAATTCAGCATCCATAAATTAAGTTTTATTAGAACATGCCACACTCATTTATGTACTACCTATGGCTGCTTTCATGCTGAATAGCAGAAAACTTGAATGGTTGTGACAGGGAACAAAGGCCTACAAAGCCTCAAATACTTACGATCTGGCCCTTTATAGGAAAAGTTTGTCAACCCTTGATCTATTACATAGAAAACACTCAATTGCCGTTAGGATCACATGTAATCTTCATGACTCTACAATTAAGTGCTATTAAGAGCATTTTTCTGGACAGGGTTAAATAAAGTCTTCAAAGTCACATAGCTAGTAAAGGGTAAAGTCAGTTTGACCCCAAAGCCCATTCTCTAATATGTCACATTAGCTAATGTTTTAAAAAACATATTAAGAATGATTACAATTTTATATAGTTTAATATAACTCCACCAAATAGTAAAGATTAATTTTATTTTCTTTTTTCTTTTTTCAAAGAATCCAGAAACCATCTGATCTATACATTTTAAATGCTGTAATAACCAGGTTTTTCTATACATTCCAATTCCTTGTTAATTTAAGAACAAAACTTTGCATATCTAGATATCCAAAAACTAAGAGGCAGTAAATGTTTTAAAATTGTTTTTACTGAAAATCATAACTGAACATTTTTAATTCATAGAAATTTTAAACCATTTAATAAATGCATGTTAGTTTTATATTCCATATTTGTTTCCCCCCAAAAGTTAAGCTCCACAAACCCAATCCCCATTAGTTTTCCTTTTAAAAACCAAGTTGCCACTGCACTATAGGAATGTGAAAAGTAGCAAACCTGTCACAAGCGAATATTGTGATCACTGTATCAACCGACTTGAGGTGATTAACTTTTAAAATTTTATTATCAAAAAATTAACATCCCAACGTCTTCCAAGACTGAAAAGGAACCACATTGTTATCGGTACTGTTACTTTTACAGTATGTACCATAACAGCTATATGGTGATTGTTTTCAAATTTAAATTTTTTATCATGGGTGGGCAGTCTCAGTTTAAATCCCTCAGTAGAATGATTAATTTGGTAGTAAACATTTTAAATAATATTGTCAGTAGAGATTAGATACATGAATATAGTACTCTGGATATGCTATGGAAAATTTAACGCAAAGGTTGCTTAGTCAATCGGCTTGCATTTACCAAGGACCTATAGGCTATAAACCTGCTCCTTCCTGGTATTTTTCCAATCAATTCCAGCTACTGCAGCTGGATCTAGTGAAGACTCAATTCTATTTCTGATGCCAACATAAAGTGAAATGCTTTTTGAGTCCCTACTGTTTACCAAATGAAGAATGAACGGCAAACTCTAGAATTCAACCCTTTATCCAATGATACTTTAAATATTTTCGTCTTATTTTCTCTTCTTTACATGTATCCTATGCTGCACCCAAACTAGACATATTATTGCTAAATATGTTCCTTCTTTCCCTTCCCCCAGTATTTCTTCTGACCCCTTTTTCCACTTGCCGTTCTCAATATACCCTCCTTCAGGACCCATCTGAAATGTCAACTCCTTAATGAAAACTTATCTGATCTAATTGATATTTCTCTAAAGACTCATTGCTCTTTTCTTTGTATTTCATTTTACTTGACCCCACCTTTATTGTATTAGTTGTGTATTTCTTACCATTCATAACAAATCCCCAAAATGAATTTAATTCATTAATTTAGTACCAGTTGAATATTGTAAAGGATGGGTAATGTTGTAACTTATAATAATAAATATACGTTTGGTCCTCCACCCATTCTTGGCACAGAGCTCCTAAAACCTTAGGAATTTCCTAAGTGTCTTTTTGTTATCTTAATGAGGTGACCTTTGAAAAGCCCTAGGTATCCTAGCCAAGAGTGTGGGGTGCCCAGACTCCACAGGGACAGAGCTCTGGTGTTTGGGACGCTTCTGGACTTCTAGCTTTTCTTTTGTATCCTTCAATGTCCTTTGTAATAAACCAGTAATCTAGTAAATAAACTGGTTTCCTGAGTTCTGTGAGCTGTTCTAGCAAATTAATCAAATTTGAGAAGGGGATCATGGGAACCACCAATTACAACCAGTAGGTAAGAAGCACAGAACTACTACTTGTGGGGTCTGATGCTATCTCCAGGTAGAGTGCAAGGATTAAGCTTTTCCAACTGGTGTTGGAAAATTGCTTGGTGGCATGGAAAAAACACATATTGGCGATAGGAAGAATGGGGGAAAGGTTACGGGAAATAATGGAAACCAGTCGAGGGAATTTAAATCTTGTGGGCAACAGACAATCATTCTTGTACAGAACGAGTGACATAAAAGGAACAATGGTTTAGGAAAAGTAGTCTGATTATCTCTACTGTAGGGTAGAGTATGCGGCAAGAACGGGCTATCCGGGAGACAGCAGAAGAGCAGCACATTGGAAATAATATGGTGGAAAGGCATTTGGGCAGAAACCTTAAAAGGAAGCAAGCCAGCAAAAGAACATTCCAAGCAGAAGACTTAGTATCAACAAAAGATGCTTGCTTAGCCTTTGAGAGGAACATCAACAGTTTCAATGTGGCTGAAGTGGGCTGAGCAGAGTGGGGAAGCGGTGTGCCGGGAGGTCGGAGGTAGGGAGCGGTATGAGTGCTGGCAGATCATATAAGGCCTCCCAGAATCAGAAGTGTTTTAGTCCATTTAAGTTGCTATAGCAAATACCACAGACTGCATGGCCTATAAACAACACATTTACTTCTCACAGTTCTGGAGGCTGGAAGTCTGAGATCAGGATACCAGCTTGGTCTGGTGGGGACCCTCATCCTGGTCAGACTTCTCATTGTATCCTCTTCTGGGTCTCTTTGAAAAAAGCACTAATCTCATTATAAAGGCTCATCCCTCCTGACCTAATCACCTCCCAGAGGCCCCAACTCCTAACAATACCACCTTGGGTATTAGGTTTTACTATTCATTTATTCATTCATTCATTCATTCATTCATTGCCTCCTAACAATACTACCTTGGGTATTAGGTTTTATTATTCATTCATTCATTCATTCATTTATGCCTACAGCACCTGGTCTTCCTAGGTAGTCTCCCATCCAAGTACTAACCAGGCTCAACCCTGCTTAGCTTCCGAGATCAGGCACGGGGTTTGTTCAGGGTGGCATGGCCGTAGACCATGGACTATTGCTCCACTGGGGTGCCAACCCAGGACCTCCTGCGTGTAAAGCAGACATGCTAACTGCTACACTATGGACCATGTCCGTATTGGGTTTTTTAACATGAATTTTTGTGTGTGTAGCAGGGAGCACATTCAGACCACAGTATTAAGATATTTGAATATTATTCTGAGTCAGGGGAAACTACTGGCAGTTTTGAGCAAGAACACTGTTGACTTGAACTAGATTTTTAAAAATGTCTCTCTTCCTTGGTGTTAAGGGCCCCTTGGATCTTGAACATGTAGTGCTGGGTTCTGGACCAGCACTGAGTGGTTTAAACAGGGTGTGCAAAAACTCATAAACCTTTAACATTCACGTTTCCTGTAGAATGTACTGCTACATATGAGGCCACAGAGTTAACTGAGCACACGAAAGGAGGCTAGTCCGAATTGAGATGTGCTGTTAATTGTAAAATACATACTGGAGATCTAAGATTTAGTAGCAACAAACAAATGTGAAATTTCTCATTAAATCTTTTGGATTAATTACATGTTGAAATGATAATATATTGGATATACTGGGTTAAATCAAACATACCAATCTTACCTCTTTTCGTTTTTAAAATCCTGGCTATTCGACTTAAGATGGCATATATAGATTGAATTATATTTTTATTGGGCAGAGACATGGCTGGCTCTTAACTCCCAGCTGGCAATTTTTTCCTTTAAGAGTTTCAGATGCGCTCTCGGGTTTTCTTGTGAATTTCCTCAGGCTCAGGCCTGAGCCTCCGGTGTCCCTGGACTCCAGCCGGCTGGGTGGGCCGATCCGCGGCCTAAACATCAGCCCTCGCTTTCCTGACACCTAATCGCGGGGCGGAAAAGGTGCAGCGCGGAGACTTCCTTAAAGCTGTGACTGTCGCGCAGCCCCCTCAGGCCACTCTCAGGGACCTCCCGGTCGGGAAGCCACCCTAAGCGCCCCTCACTCCCTGCTCTCGCAGCGGCCGCCTTAACCACGTCACATCGCCCTCCTAAACCACGAAAGAAATTAACCGGGAAGTCGCGGAGGTCTTCCATCGTCACCTACCTTGGTGGATTCAATCAAAACTCCACCTCTGAGGATGCAACCAACACCACCTTGGGCTGATCCAATCAACACCTACCTTAGGCCGACTAGGCGGGGCATAGTTAGCTGATGGCATCCCTCGCCTTCCCTGGCCTCTCATTGGAAGGGGCGCGGGCTGAGGGGCGGGACTTCCTGTCCAGTCGGGAATAACTTCCCCAGTGCACCAGTCCCTACGTCAGATCCAGCAGGGAAGTCTGTGCGTTCTGTGGTTCTTCGTGGCGCCTGAGGTGAATTAAGGTTTGAGTTCCTCGTGCAGTCAGGCCGCGGGCCTCTAGATTTCTGCCTCTGTCGCCTCTTATTTTCTGCCTGGTGATGGCGACATACACCTGCATCACCTGCCGGGTGGCGTTCGACGACGCGGAGATGCAGCGGGCCCACTACAAGACGGACTGGCACCGCTACAACCTTAAGCGGAAAGTGGCAGACATGGCCCCGGTCACCGCCGAGGGCTTCCAGGAGCGCGTGCGGGCGCAGCGGGCCGTGGCGGAGCAGGAGAGCAAGGGCACGGCCACCTACTGCACGGTCTGCAGTAAGAAGTTTGCCTGTTTCAACGCCTACGAAAACCACCTCAAGTCCCGGCGGCACATGGAGCTGGAGAAGAAGGCAGTGAATCGCAAGGTGGAGATGATGAATGAGAAGAACTTAGAGAAAGGGCTGGGCGTGGACAGTTTGGACAAGGACACCGTGAACGCAGCCATCCAGCAGGCCATCAAGGCTCAGCCGTCTCCCAAGAAGGCCCTCCCAGCGCCCAAGAAGGAGTCCGGGAATCCCGTGGCGGTGGCCAGTGGAGGGCGTGTGACTGACGACCGAGACGCGGCCGAGAAACCTCCCCGGCTCCAGTGGTTTGAACAGCAGGCGAAGAAGCTGGCAAAGCAGCAGGGGGAGGAGGAGAGTGAGGAGGAGGACGTGGATGGAGACGGTAAGGGCCCTGTCGGGGAATGGAGGGTAGGAAACCGGCCCCCTTTACGTTTCCAGATTGATAGTGGAGGTTGGAGAGGGAAAGGTACCGTTTTTAAGTGAAAATGGTGTGAGGGCGGTATAGATAGATGTTTTCCGAAGTGACCTGCCTCATCAGCAGCCCCGCAGGGATTTGTGTTTAGTTCACACTGTTGCAGATTCAGGGCCTGGAACCTTCTCCAGGGGGAAAAGTGGCTCCTTAGTACACACTTGTAGAATGAATTGATGCCTTTTTTATTTGAATAAGGAGGCTTTTGACGTGTGCATGGGAAGAGATGTTACCACTGCACCATTTGCTGTGGAATTTATAATTCTCTTGGGTTTCTAGTTGTGACTTGGCACTTAATTTGGTTGATTGAAACAATCAAATGAGGGTTATAGAATCAGCTAGCTAACCTGAAATGTGGACCTGGAGCCAGCCATCTAGCCTTCTTGACTTGATGAGTTATTTTTTTTCCTCTTTCTCCATATCACACATCCTGTTAACACTGGTCATATGAGTTCATATAGACTTAGGAAAGAAGCAGACTCCTTCAAGGAGTTTACCGTGGGCTGGAAAAGAAAGATTAAGGTATTTCTTAGCCATACAAATTGGTCTATGGTAAAGGAATAGTTAAAACAGAGATCTTGAAAGAGGATTTGTCCTAGGAGGTAAATCAGCACCCGCCTCCCCAGATATAGGACTGTACACCTCATGTTTGTGTATCTTTGGTGGTTTCTTTGATTGCTGTTACCATTTGTCTTTAACCTCGTTTTTCGAATCTCTGGCTTGAAGATTGGGAAGATATTGATTCTGATGAAGAATTGGAATGTGAGGATGCTGAATCGATGGATGAGTTGGAGGAGCTGGATGCAGAGGAGGAAGAAGCTGTGGGAAGCGCCCCTCCTGGTGCCATCCCCGTAACGGACTGCTTATTTTGTCCCCATCATTCAAGCTCCCTCATGAAGAATGTGGCTCATATGACTAAAATCCACAGCTTCTTTATTCCTGATATAGAATATCTTTCAGATCTTAAGGGACTGATTCGGTATTTGGGTAAGTACGATAGCTTTCCTTTTAATGAGGATATAGCACATTATTGGGGGGAAGGTCTTAAGGGAACATCAGTTGTGTGTTTCTCACAAATCTTTGATTTAATCACCTGTTTATTTTGTGAAGATCAGAAACTTGATGCTTTTTTTTTTTTTTTTTGACTTGTGCAGGTAAATGGTGAGATTGAATCTGGCCGCAAGAGCTTTCTTCATATTTTTTCCTCAAAAGCTTTTTTCTTATTTTTCCAGGAGAGAAAGTCGGCGTAGGGAAGATTTGCTTGTGGTGCAATGAGAAAGGGAAATCCTTTTACTCCACGGAAGCTGTACAGGCGCACATGAATGACAAAAGCCACTGTAAGCTCCTCACAGATGGTGATGCTGCTTTGGAGTTCGCAGACTTCTATGATTTTAGGTAAGTCTGCGGTTTGTAATGCGAGGTGAAGTGAGATTATCTCTGAAGTGATATTAGCTCTGCCAATGCCTGATATGTGTTTGGAACTGGACAACATATTCTTTATCACTCTCACAACACTTCTGTGTGGACAGGTATTCCCTCTCATTGTGTAGATAAGAAACATCTTAACAGCATAAACACACACACACACACACACACACACACACTCTCTCTCTCTCTCTCTCTCTGTCTCTCTCTCTCTCTCTCTCCCTCTCCCTCTCTCTCCTTCCCCCACCCTCCCTCCCTCCCTCCTGATAGGTCGAATAAGGAGAAGATCTCAGGCCCAAACTGAAGTTTGTCAGACTGGGTGTTTAACGGTCAGGAGTTCCGTAATGCCTGTTACCCTTGGGAACAGAGGCACAGAAATGAGGTTTCATGGGGCCTGAGTGGCCTTGAATCACAGGCTGTCTCCTACAGGAGTAGAGATGGTTGCTGAACCAGGCATTTGGTGGTGAGGTTGTCCCATAGGTAGTTCACCCTTTTCTAGAAACCTGTGTAATTCGTGTGTCATACACCAAATCTATACTAGGCACTCTGGAACAGCTAATCCCTAGCATGAAGAGTTGGTGACCTAGAACAGGTGTATGCTACACAAGTAGGTGTGTATAATTACCATGCTGGGTGTACGTAGTTCATGTTGATACAGGTGTTCAGAAAAGTCCTAGTCATTTCAGTTGTCTTTTTGCATTTTCCTCCTGATTTCCCATTTTTGTAGTGAGGAAGAGTTTTTCATTTTTGTCTCTTTTGTGGCTCTGTACTGGAATCTCATTGTGGTTTTAATTTGCATTTCCTTTGTAATGACTGTAGTCGAGAACCTTTTATATATTAATTGGCCATTTCGATGTCTTTTGTGAAGTATTTGATCAAATCTTTTTGTTTTCCTTTTGGGTTATCTGTCTACTGTTAACATTTTAGTGCATTTCTCTATTTTCTATGTATTTGTGAACATCTCTGGGAACGTTGAGATTCTTATAGAACTGCACTGTCCAATATGGTAATTACTAGGTGTACTCATGTGGCTATTTAAGTTAATTAGAAATTAAGTTAAAAATTTTTTAAATTTAGTTCTTCAGTTGCAGAATCACATCAGAGCTCAGTGCTTAAAAGCAACTGATTGGTAGCTACTCTGTTAGACACACGGGCATAGAAAATTTCTGTATCACAGAGTTTCGTTGGACAGCAACATTCTAGAACTTTTAAAAAATATTTTTATTTTGCAATTACCATTGACATACAATATGAGTTCCAGGTGTACACCATAGTGATTAGACATTTATGTAGCTTACAAAGTGATACCCCGATAAGTCTAGAACTCATCTGGCACCACACATAGTTATTACAATATTGTTGATTATATTCTCTATGCTGTATTTTACAACCCCATAACTGTTTTATAACTGGCAATGTGTACATCTTAATCTCTTCCCGTTTTCACCCCTCCTGCCAACACCCCTCCCATCTGGCAATCATCAATTTTGTAGAACTTCCTATTATAGTGGTTAAATTGACAAGAGCTGCATCTTCCAGCTCTACATTCTCTCTTCTATTCCAGCCACCTTCCTAGGGAGAAACAATAGGTAAAAGAATTCAGTTTTAGGTCATTCGCTCACTTTTTTTTTTTTAAGTACAATTTTCGATTCATAGCAAAGTTGAGCAGCTGGTACAGTGACTTCCCATATATTCCCTACCCACACACATGCACAGCCTTTCTCATTATCAACATCCTCCACTAGTTGTACATTTGTTTAAACTGATGAATCTGCACTGATTCATCATTATCAAAGTCCATAGTTTACATTAGAGTCCGGTCTTGGTGTTGTTCATTGGACAAATGTATAATAACAGGTATCCACCATTATAGAATCATACAGAGTAGCGTCACTGCCCTAAAAATCCTATATAGTCCTGCCTCCTATTCAAACCCTGGAAACCACTGATCTTTACTTTCTCCATAGATTTGATTTTTACAGAACTTCATATAGTTTGAGTCATACAATATGTAGCCTTTTCAGACGCTTCTTTCACTTAGTAATATGCATTTAAGGTTCCTCCACGCCTTTTCGTGGCTTGACAGCTCATTTCATTTTGGTCTGAATAGTATACCACTGTCTGGATGCACCACAGTTTATCCATTCACCTACTGAAGAACAGTTTGGTTACTTCCAAGTTTTAGCTATTATGAGTAAAGCTGCAGTAAACATCTGTGGGCAGATTTTCGTGTTGACATAAGTTTCCAGCTCCTTTGCAGATATACCACGCAGCAAGATTGTTGCACCATATGGTAAGAGAATGACCATATGTCATTAGTTTTGGAAGAAACTGCCAAACTGTCCTCAAGTGGCTGCGCCGTTTTGCATTCGCACCAGCAACGCATGGGAGTTCCTGTTGCTCCACATTCTCACCAGCGCTGGTGGTGTCTGTTCTGGATTTGGCCAGATTTAAACATCTGTTTGTTTTAATTTGTATTTCCCTGATGATATGATGTGGAGCATCTTTTTATGTGCTTATTAGCCAGCTGTATATCTTTAAGGTCTTTGGGCCGTTTTTTAATTGGGTGTTTGTTTTCTTATTGTTGAGTTTTAAGAGTTTTTTGAATATTTTGGATAATATATATCTTTGGATAACATATCTTTTATCAGATGTGTCTTTTCTTTCATCTGTGGCTTGTAGTTTAATTCTCATGACAGTTTTTCACAGAGTAGAAGTTTTTAATTTTGATGTAATCTAGTTTATTAATTTTTTTCTTTCTTGGATCATGCCTTTGGAATGATACCTAGTCATCACCAAACCCCAAGTCATCTAGATTTTTTTCTGTTATCTTCTAGGAGTTTTTTTATAGTTGGCATTTTTCATTTAGTTCCGTGATTCGTTTTGAGTTCATAAGTCATTTGCCCACTTTTACTACAGAGAAAATGCTAACAGCTTGTAGTCGCTGCATCTGTGTACCACCCCTCTACGGTAGCTAGTGGGTCTGCCCCTTTGCAAATACAATTTATGTCTTTTAGTTAAATTTGAGATATCAGTCTATTCATTAACACCCTTTCACTGTGTTCCAGGAGTAGCTACCCAGATCACAAGGAGGGGGAGGGGCCCGATGGGACTGAGGAGCTGCCCTCAGAAAAGACCTTGGACTACGATGATGAAACCATGGAGCTGATCCTACCTTCTGGTAAGTGCATTTGTCACAAGTAACTCAAGGCCAGCGAGCCGTTGGAGACGTCTTTTCCTATCCATCCTTTTCCATACTGAGGGAAATAGAACATAGAACTTAAAATGTGTATTCGTGTTCTCAGGTACGTGGTACACTCTGAAGGTTGCCCTCAGCTCTGTGTTGGCTTTTTTGTTTAAACTGGATCAGTGTTTTTGCTCATTTCTGTTCTGACTCAATGCCTAGATCAGTCATTTAATTTCTTTTCAAATATGTAGACCTGTTCTATTCCTTCGATTTATTTTTTGGCCCCGTCTAGGTTTTTCTTGTTAATCTTGTGCTTCATCTTATTCCTGGAACTGATTCCTGTTTCCTTGTTTTGCTCAGACTTCTGAATGGTGTCTGGCATGGGTGGATCTGATTAGCGGTGCCTGGGTTGCCTGTTTCTGATGGTCGGGGGGAGGCTTAGAGTTTGAATTCTGCCTTCTGCTTTGGGGAACAGTATTCATAATCATGGGAATTTAACAAAGGAATGAAGAGATGAAGGAAAGCTGTGAATATGAGAAGCATCCACTATTGTTTACGGTGTTATGATTAGCTGATAAGAATAGGAGAAGCTACCAAGACATGTGAGAAGGAAAGGGAACGGGATGGTAGAGATGATAAGATAATAAGATCCTAATAATACCTGGTATTTCCTGAGCAGTGAGCACGTTCAGGCAGATATTTTATTTTCACAACAAGCCTCCGGGGCTTGGAATCACATTCGCCTGCAACACCGGGAGCAGATTGCTTTGCCTCTGCATCATCAGACAGTCAAAGAAGGTGGCATGAGATGAGCTTGAAGGTCCAATATCCCTGGTTTTTAAAGCCTGGGTTTCCTCACTCACAGCTGCAGGCCGTTTACTGAGTCATGCTATTTTAAGGTGTTGGATAATAAACCTCAGGAGAGCTCTCTGAGGTAGGCTTGGGAGTAGTGAGGTGACTGGTTTGGTGCTAGAGTACTGCGAAATAACTACTTTCAGACAGACAGACTCATCAGGAAAGACCAAAGGTTCCTAACTAGGCCACGCATGTGTTTTTTTCTATGGAAAGGCTTGGCGTGGATGTTGACATGAAGCTAATTTGAGAAAGATTCTAATGTGAAGAGCTTAGTCATATTTTATTCACCACATTTAGTAGATTTAGCTTTAAACTGGTTTCAAAAGCAGCAGTTGTGGTACCTAAAATCTAGTTACTTCAGATCAACTAGCTTTCCCAGAGCATCCGGTAGAGGGCACTGTGGGCATTGTTTTGAAAACTGATCTGGCTCTGTTGCTTGAGTTCTTTGCTGTTCAGTTCTTGAGGAGTAAGTTAGTGTGAAAGACACATCCAGTTAGCTGCTGACGCCAGATAAAACTTGGTGGATCCACAAGAGATACAAAACTAATCTTAGGAAAATTACCGTAAGTGGTTATTGCTGTGGTGACAGGTAGATGGACAGGTTGTGACTTCACCATAACTCATATAAGCTACCTGTTATATATATTGTGCAGTCAGTGTGTTCTAAAAATAATTTTCGTTGATACGGGCCTTTAAGTTGAGCTGTTAGCACATTATACTTGGTGCTTCGTGTCAGATGCTCACTGTCATTGTCAAAGGGCAAGGGCGGCTCTAAACACTGCGTGTTTCATTTCTCCTGCCAGCTGTCGGAAACCTTGGCATTGAGTAATGACACCTTTTCAAGGATGTTTTAAAAAGCCAAACTTCAATAAACATTTCCAAGTACTGCTTAAGAATATAAGTATATTGATTTATTATGTACTAATGACCGGCATTATCATTTAATGATTCCGAGGTAGCCATCATTACAAACCTGGAGCGTCCTGACCTAACGTTGCAAATAGAAAATCACAACAAACGATGCTGGAGTTTCCTGCTAGAGCCTCCGTTTAAGTTGTGCTGTTATCCGTCAGCTGTGCCACCCTTACTTCTTGTGGTCAGGAGCTTTGTTAACGCTAAGCTGCCAGAACAGTCAGGTTCGGGGAACCATGTCATGTTTTCATCCACATTGGTATCCAAAGCCCATATATCGTCTTTGATTTGAAGGTTTCTTTTTGCTATCCCTTGAGTCTGATCACAAAAAGAGGCAACTACTTTTCTGTATCTGTGTAGCAAGCAAACTGTTTCAGGTAGCTTGCCAGATAGAGGGACTTAAAATAACCTGGCAGAATTTTCTCATGTCAATTAAGGATCTAGATCCTAAAAGCAAATACAGCCACCTGTCCTACACAGAGGATTCTGAAAGAAATGGTTTTAAATATGTAAATTTCAAACTTTCCTAGAAACTGTACACGTATTTTCTGTATTCATTTTCTGTAAAATAGATGTTTCATGTCCTGTGTATATGTAGTGGTTAAATTTCTACATCTGTCTGGAAAGGTGTTTGATTGCTTATTTCCTAATTAACATTCTTATGAAAACATAACTTGTAGTAAGCTCACAGGCAATGCTGATACCATTGGCCCAGGCTCACCTTTTGAGAGCCACTGTCTGATGGAGTCTGTAGTTAGTTACCATGGAGGCCTATCCCCTTCCCTCTTGCCTGCTGTGAAGCTAAGATATAGGGATCAGCATACTTTTCCTCTAAAGAACCAGATAGTCGATAGAGATTCATTTCTGAAAGCATGGTTGACTTGCATATTTTTACCAGATCCTTCTAAATTAGCAGAAGGTGTAGAGACTCCAATTTAATCATCTTTTAAAATTCTGGTTCACCTGGTAATTTAAATTACTTAGAAAGCAATAGAGCATGCAAGTAGACTGCTCTCTGTCTCATACACTAAAATTAACTGAAAACAGACCAAAGACCTGCATATAAGACTTGAAACAATAAATTGCATAGCAGAAAACAGGTATTGAACTCATGGTCCTTGGATTTAGAGAGAGTTTTATGAATTTGACCTCAAAGGCAAGGGAAGTAAAAGCTAAAATAAATGAATGGGACAAATTAAAAAGCTTCTGCACAGCAGAAGAAACTATCAACAAAACAAAAGACAATCATGTGAACAGGATATTTGCAAACAGCACCTTCCATAAGGGCTTAATATCAAAATAAACAAAGAACTCATATAACTCAACATTAAAAAAACAATCTGATTAAAAAATGGGCAGAGGACCTGAACAGACACTCCCAAGAAGACATATAAATAGCCAACAGACATATGAAAAGATGTTCAACTTCACTAGGTAGGGAAATGCAAATCAAAACCACAATGAGATACCATCTCACACCTGTTAGAATGGCTATTATCAACAGGACAAGTAATAACAAGTGTTGGAGAGGCTGTGGGGGGAAAAGGAACCCTCATACACTGCTGGTGGGAATGTGAACTGGTACAGCCACTGTGGAAAACAGTATGGAAGTCCTTCAAAAAACTAAGAATAAAATTACCATTGACCTAGCAATCCCTCTTCTGGGTATTTACCCAAAAAACTTGAAAACATTCACAAAGATGTATACACCCCAATGTTCATAGCAGCATTATTCTCAGTGGCCAAAACATGAAAACAACCCAAGTGCCTTCAATAGATGACTGGATAAAGAAGTGGTGCATATATACAATGGAATATTACTCGGTTGTAGGAAAAGATGAAATACTGCCATTTACGACAACATTGGGTGAATCCTGAGATTATTATCATGCTAAACGAAATAAGTCAGAAAAAGTTGAGAACCATATGATTTCATTCATATGTGGGATATAAAACTGAAAGCAACAGACATGACAGAGACTCATGCATGGA